AAACATTTCGTCCTTCATCCAAAGGACTTCGTCAGTCCGAGGAGCCACAACAAACTCAGTCCCACAAGCAGCACACTCCCATAGTGGGCCAACCAGTTTGCTGGTTATCCTGATGCAATAGAAAAAAAATCTAAAAAAGTTAAGTCTGATCCTCTGGATGGGTTCAAAAAACAAAAAATTGTAATATGTTTCGACTTTCATCCAAAAGACTTCTTCAGTCTGAGCTGTATTCAGCTCAGTCTTATAAATAGCACCTTCTCGTAGTGGTTCAACCAGTTTGTTGTTGACATTCAAAACTAGCTGTTTATTTATAAGACTGAGCTGAATACAGCTCCTCAGACTGAAGAAATCTTTCGAATGAAAGGCGAAACGTTTCTACAATTTTTTTTTTAACCCATCCAGAGGACCAGACTTAACTTTTTTAAGACAGTTTGCTGGTTGTTGCTGCAGTTTGCTGAAACCATCACCATCAAACTGGTTGGCATTTGGCCTACTGTGAGTGTGCTGCTTCTGGGACTGTGTTTGTTGTGGCTCCTCGAACTCAAGAAGTCCTTTGGATGAAGAACGACACATTTCAACAAAAACAAGAAACCGTTCAGATGACCTGACTGAACTTTATTGGATTACTATCTGAGTTTTATTAATTTCCGTCTGGTGGTTCATTAGATATTTAATAAACAAACACATAAACCTTTGTCATCATGACACACAGACAAACATGAGAAGTTGGTCAGATCGGCACAGAGTGGAGGAAGCTCTCTGGCAGCTCTCTGCAGCTTGATCAGCAGCAGCAGCCACTGCTGACTTCCCTGCTCTTTTTTGCCATATATGGTCATAAGAGTGGTTGGAGAGAGGAGAGCAGAGGGAGGGGGTGTGGTCTATTGTTTTTGGCGGAAGAAGTGTAGGGTTGCTCTTGAAACTTTGATGCTTGTCGTCATCCTCTCTGTGTGAATGCAGACACAATAACCTCAAGAGCTGAGTGTGTGTTCAGGCCAGGACATTGATTCACGAGTTTGAATCCTGGCCCTTGAGCTCAGGCTTATTTTTAAACAGCCAAAGGACGGAGAAAGTGCTCAACGTGGTAAATGGTTAACAAAGGTGGTGACATGCAGCTCCAAACATCCAGCAGGAATGCTTTTCATCACGCTCTTTATTATTTTTGTGAATCTGGACCATTAGCGTTGTTTAGTCACACCTGCTTATGTCATGTCAGAGGAATTCCCCGTGCTCGGTCTCTGTGGAGCAGCTGTGAATGAACAGCCCCGGGCTTTGATTGCAGTCATGCACTCCACGCCACAGCGTTTAATGAGCAGTCTGAGGGCCTCGCTTCTGCCTCCGTCAGCTGTGGGTTCTGTAATGACATGGGTTAGACAGCAAAGCAGAACGGGGTGGGAATTTTTCTGCTTCGAAAGTCATGAGATAAGAGGTGATGACTGGCAAACAGGTCTGTTGCTGCCGGCCTCGTCAGCCTCACATGACCTCACTCTCGTTTCTTTCTGCCAGGCTGTGTTTACAGCGCCGAGTTGTTTTTTTTTTTTTTTAATCTTCTCCCTCGGGTCAAAGTGGCTACAGCCCTGACAGGTATTTTGACCATTAGCTCATTTCTGAAAAGGTTTTTTTTTTTTTTTTAGAAATCGTGACCTTTATTTGTTGTTAATTATTTACAGATGATAAGGCACCAACGTACCACTGTCTTCTTTTTATCATCTGAAACCATGGCAACGTTAAAACAAAGCACAAGCTGAAATCAAACACATGTGTCCAGGAGGAACACAGATTATTTCAATCTGAGCAGGGTTAAGAAGGGAAAAACAACTTTTTTTTAACAGAGCGTTGCAAAATGTTCACACCCACTGGAATTATTGTTGACACACAGCCTGGAACTTAAACAGGTTTGTTATTTGATTATTACTATATGAATACTTCAGACTCATTAAGTTAAACTCTTTTTTTTAATTCTAAAGAAAACGCAACTAAAAAAAAGTGGTATAGATATGTATTCACCTCCTTTGCTTTGAAGCCCTTATTATTACCTCCGGAAGTTACATAATTACCGGTAGTTAAATACAAGCTTCCCGTGGGTAATCTGAGTGTCAGATAATCTCAGTATAAATACACCTGCTCTGCTAGCAACACCTGTAACCAGTAAGGACTACCACTAGCAGGGCTTAATTTGAGCCGCGTCCTGCCCGAACAGGCTCTGGGAACTCTCTTCTTTTGACAGGGTGCGTTCCGGTAACTGTTTGCTTGGATCCAGTAACTCTCAGGCCTAATAATAATAAAGTTATGAACAAATATGACTGACTTGAACGAATAAAACATATTGGATATGTAAACTGAAACTAATTACATAAACACTCATTTTAAACACAACAGCCACTTACGACTTCTTCCTCTTCAAGTAAGCATGTACACCTCTACCCTTAAAAAAAATCGACGCCATTAAAAGAGTGGATTAAAAGAGTGGTGGGGGTGAGTGCCGAGCTAACCAGGCAGTCGTACGCGGGCAGGAGCCCACTGGCATCCGCAATGAACAGACAGAGGAAGCACCTGGAGGTTTCACATGTGGAGTCGGACAGTGAATTCAACGGAGAAGAGTCGGCTTGGAACCGTCAAGTAAGGAGGAGGGAGGCTAGGACGCTTGACAGAAGTGGAGTGTTTACAAATGTAGGTAAATGTAGATGTTTAAAAACCCATTAAAATACACCAAAATGCAGGAAATCTTAATTAAATACTTAATTAATTTTTTTCTGGGGGAGGATCCTCAGACACCCCACCCCCATAGGCACACCAGCTGTTTGCGTTCCAGCATAGATCGGTTTACAAATTAAGCCCTGAATAAGAGGCAATATGAAGACCAAGGAACTCTCTACACATCAGAGACAAAGTTGTGGAGACATACAGGTCAAGGTTTGGATTATAAAAAAATAAACCAGAACAATGAACGCCTCTCACAGGACCGTAAATCCAATAATAAAGTAGCATTCCTTGAAGGAATGCATGTTGCCCATCATCTTGTAACTTCATGCTCATTTTAGGATTGAACATTTTGATCACCTATGAGACCCTGAATGGAAGGGGTCCTGTAGACCTGTCTGACCTCCTGCAGCCCTATCCCAGTAGGTCCAGAGTGGTCCACAGAGGTGATCAGGATTTTTCAGTTGTAGCTCCTAAACCTGTGGAACCACCTGCCCAATCTTTTTTATTGGTTTTATTTTATTATTATTTTTTTTACTTATATTTTTATATGATTTTATTCTTGTGTTTTTATGTTTCCTGACTTTATTCTCTTCTTCCCATTTGTATTATATGCAGCACTTTGGCCAACGACAGTCGTTTTTAAATGTGCTATAAGAACAAGTTTGATTTGATTTGCATGCTAAACAAAGACACAATCAGTTAGTACGGTGACGGGAATCACTCTCAGCTACTACCACACCCAACTTTGGCTCAATAAAAACACAGAATTTTAGCAACTTTTGTATTTGCTATGGTCAATTACTTGTGGTGGCCATCTTGAATCAGGTTGGCTCCATAAGTTAACAGTACAGGATATCCAATGACTACTCACCGAGTTTAAATAAAAGAGATATTTTGCTAACGAACACACAAAGACACAGGCGATTACATTATTGACAGGCGATTACATCATCGCTCACCTTTTATGGTGGCGAGTGAAAAGACGATGCCACCACAGTAAACCTGTGGTCAGATGAGACTTGAACTTTTATGCCATGAAGGAAACACCATGCCCCACAGTGAAGCATGGTGGTGGCAGTATCATGTTGCAGAGACATTTTTTATCAGCAGGGAACTGGTCTGAGTTGAAGGAAAAATGGATGAAGCAACTTTGTCCCAAAATAATGACAATTATTAACAGCCAATTCTCACTCAAACCCTCTCTATGTGATGATGATGATGTCTGCGTTGTGTCCGACGATGGCGACCCTGGCTAGCTTCTGGCATGTGCTCGTATGTGGTTGGCAAATCCGAACTTCGTCTTAAATATTCTGTCGCAGCAGGTCACGCAGTATAGCTGGCCCGCACTGTTGTAGGTGTAGCTGTAGGAGGGTTTAGGCCAGTTCTTGCAAATGTGTTGTTTGAGGTCTAACTCGAAAAGGCGAGAGTTTTCAAAGTTTGAGATGCCTCTCTTGACCTTTGAACGCCCAACTGATCTTCTTTGAGCAGCCTCCTCCCACTCTTCGGTAACCAAACTTCACGCAGTCAGATTACGTTTGGCGATGTCCTTAAAGCGAAGGTACTGCACGCCGGAGTTGTGCTTCCCACTCCAAAGCTCCGAGTAGAATATTCTCTTTGGTAGCCTTCCATCCGCTGGACGTGACCGCACTATCGCAGTTGTCCTCTCATCAGTAGGTCCTCCATGCCGTGAGCATTTGAGCAACAAAGAACATCGGCATTTGTGACACAATCCTGCCATTTGATGCACAAGATGGAACATTGGTATTTTATGTGAAATGTGTTCAGCCTCCTAATGTCGCCTTTATACAGGCACCAGGTTTCAGCAGCGTATAAAAGGATCGGCAGTACTATGGCACGGTAAACTGCAAACTTCTTCTGCAGTGTGATGTCGTGAGATTTCCACACACTGGTTTAACTTGCCGAAGGTGGCAGCAGCTCCCTCTACACGTGCAGGGATTTCAGACGCAAAACTGTTGTCATTTCTTATCTGGCAACCCAGATAACAGAAGTTGGTGACTTCTTCCAGGTTTATCCCATGTTAGCGTCAGGATCAGAGCCTCTTGACGGCTGTTTAAGTATCTGGGTCTTGGTGACACATAACTAATCCAAACTTGCAACACGATTCCTGCAAGGCATTGAGGTAAAGCTTCTATGCTGTCCTTCATTTGGCATACGTCGTCGGCATAGAAGATATCATGACTGAAAAGTTGGTAGTTTGGGACTTTGCTCTAAATCAGGAGAGGTCAAATACGCTCTTGTCTGTCCGCACATTAAGATGGATGGATACGTCCGCTGCATCTTTCAAGAGCATCATTCATCTCAGCAGCAAAACAGAGTGCAAAAAGAGTGGGTACCAATAGATCATTCATCTTGGCCACTTTATATAGATATTTATTAAATATACTGTATCTATATAAAGTGGCCAAGATTAATGATCCATTTTCTGTTTCAGGGTGAAGAATGACTAGATATTAGAGGTATTCTGTGTTAGAATATGCTCGAACACAGTCAGACAAGAAAAAGGTCCCAACTGGAGAGCAGATATTTAGACGTGGCACAAAATAATTCAGATTTGAGACGTGCTGCAGCGCGTTATTGAGCTGAACCACCGACTTTATGGGCTGAGTCACCAGCGATGCACATTTTAAACATTTTGGAAGCATCCCTTAGAATTTCATTACAATTTGGTAAATGTTTTATTATTCAACACAACACCTATTTAGCTTTGTTTAGCTGAGACAGTTACTCAGATATTCACATTTCAATTGATGTCTAGTTTTTGGGACACCATATAAACCATTTGTTGAGCAAAATCTGAGTCTTTCAGAGATTATAGTCTGAGACAGAGGTTCAACTCTCAGACCCACGACTCTCAACAACACGTTGCTGAAGAAACACTCCAGTAGTTTACAGAGAACCAGTTAAAATGTCTTGAAATGGTCCAATCAAAGTGCAGACCTCAATCCAACTGAGAGTGTTTGGTTTGATTTGAAGATTGTTGGATGCAAACAGCATCTATCCACCCTGAAGGAGCAGTTTGGTCAGTAAGAATGAACAAGCAGTACGTTGATGTCTCCCATCGCTGAAGGATTTGAACAGTGAATGTAGTTTGAGATGACTGGAACTGAACAGGGAATGTACGTAAACCTAAATGTTTTGGAGTGAGATGCACCGTGGAGAAGAGAGGTGGGTTTTTATTTCTGTCCAAGGCAGTGCAAAGTGACAGATTCTTAAGAGAGGGGGGAGCAATTTTATCAACCAGATGGTGTAATGGCAGATCCAGGGGGTGGCCGACGTTGGCCGACGTTGGCCGACGGTGGCCGACGGTGGCCGATGGTGGCCTTGGCCCATAGGCGATTGTAGCTTCTTTTTGGAGGTGCTCAAGAACTCCTAAATTTTAACTTGGCACCCCTGAAAAATAAAGAAAGCATCATTAGGATTTTGTAAGGAAGCTTAGTTCTTAAATACCAAAATATTGAATAATTATGGAATAAATGATGAAAGTCTTAAACGGGCCAAAATCAATTATTATTATTATTTTTTTTGCACGAGTCGGATCCTCTACATCACCTGTCAATCAATCCAGCAGGCTTGTCAGCAACTGACCGCTCAACAATTACAATTTGTCCCAAAGTGAAACGTCCTTTACCTGCAGGAGCTGCTCCCCCTTTTACACCGACAACTTTGTCGGAGTTTTGCATTATGAACGCTTTGTGGTCAGAGAGATTCCATAAAAACTCATCAGATAAAATAGTTAAACGTTAGAGGGGAACATGTGATTCAGACAGTGTTACTCTGAGTGTTTAGAGGGTGGAATACAGTTCATTCTATTTCCAAAACCTAAACTGAGTCTGGAAAAATGTAAAAGATGATAAAGCCCTGCGGCCGACCTCCTTCAGATTCAGATATTCTTTGTTGTTCGCACCACATGTATCACATGTAGTGCGAAAAAAATTATGTACACAGGGTCCCAATCACATCCAACAATAAAATGTAAAAGAAAAACAGTAATAACGGGACAAGACAGCCCCTGGTTTACTCCAGAGCTAGCTGACCTCCTGTACAGGAGAGACCATCTTTGGGCCACAGCGAGAAAATCTGACTCAGACACTGATTGGTTGAGTTTTCGGCAGATGAGGAATAAATGCACAACTGCCATCAAAGCAGCAAAACGCAACTATTTCTTTTCTCAGACCTCCAAAAATCTAAATGACCCCAACAGATTCTGGAAAACCATCAAATCTCTCTCAGGCACCCCCCAATCATCTGACCTCCCATCACAACTTCTCGTTAACTTTGTTCCTGTGTCAAATAAGCACGAGATCCTGAACTGTTTCAACAAACATTTTGTTGCTTCTAGTTCTTTATTTGACACAGTTACTAATGGAAAATCAGCCACTTCCCCTAATAACCAAACTTCTACAAATCAAATCCCTCCTACAAGTCAATCCTCAGTTAATCACAGCTTCTCTTTTTCTCCATTCTCAGTCAGTGAGGTCAATAAACTGTTAAAAGATCTTGATCCTAAAAAATCTGCAGGTCCAGATGAGCTTCCACCTTATTTCTTAAGGCTGGCTGCTCATATCATCACAGTCCCTGTGACCCACATCTTCAATCTCTCCATAAGACAAAACTCCATCCCAGACACTTGGAAAACAGCCTTTGTTCTTCCTTTGCTGAAGGGAGGAGACCCCACCTCACTGAACAACTATCGACCAATCTCTAAACTCTGTTCTAGAAAAATTGATAAACTCTCAAATCAAAAATTACCTGGACTCATTTAACATCTTACCTCCACATCAATCTGGTTTCAGGAAACAACACAGCACAACCACTG